GACCTATGCCTTCCGAGCGACATGCACGCCGCGAAGGGACGTCGGAAGGCTGCATCAGTACTAAGGGTGTAGTACTTAAGTACCAGTACCAGTACTTGCCAAGGTATGCAGTAACATTACAAGTACCAGTACTAGATATTAGCTTGGTCCTGCAGTACCAGTACTTTTTTAGGAAGTAATTAAGTATCAGTACAAGTCCTTTTATTTATTCATCATAGTTTGAATACACACTGTCAGACAAAAATAACATATTACATGTATGTATATTTACATATTTTAATGATACATTTTTAAACATGTATTTCCATTTCACATGTGAACACTTCAGATTAAAAAAAAAAATGCAAACATTATTCAGCAAAAAAAAAATGGAATTATTATTTACTTTAAAAGTTAACATTACATTTTTACAATGTTAACTTTAATGATTTAAACAATATTTACATCATATATTAATGTCTTATCTTATTGTTTCGTAACCAGTCAACTGTTATGCAATGCGTGTGTGTGTTTTTAGTTTTATCTATACTGGGCGCCGGCTTTGTCATATGTCCCAGACTATCGGCCTCTGTTACCTAGCTAGTCGTAGCAGCTGCAACGGAGGACTTAGTTCACCTTCAACATCTCTGATCGTAGAGCCTCAACAGTTAACAAAAGGGCCAAATTTTTCTTTGAATCCATGTTACAGTTAAAGACCTTGAAGAGAGTCCTAAAATGCTCACAAAGAAGTGTATAAAATTGCAACTTTATTCAAAGTCAGATGTCAATGGAAGATGAAAATAGGGTGGTATGCAAACTTTTATAATGTAAAATTCTTAGTCGAAAAAGGGGCATAATTCTGTCAAAATGCTTGATAGAGTTACCTCCTCCTGTCTACAGGATAAGGAATAAGTATTTGAAGTTTGAGGTAGATACCTTTAAAACTAAAAAAGTTATAGTAAACTAGAACTGCCACTATCATGGCGTGAATACCCCCACATACCACTTTGTCAGAATCAACAGTGGCCATTTAGAGCTCAAGGACAACCTCCCTGCCAAATCTGAGGTTACTAAGCCAGTGCATTGCTAAGTTATGTATTCTACATGCTTCAAATGTCAAAATCAATACATTGCGGACAGAACATTCTTTAGCAATTAAGAAGAAAAGCACTTTTTTGTCAAGGTCCCTATGACCTTGACCTTTGACCCAGTGACCTCAAAATCATTAGGGGTCACCTTATAGTCATGATCAACATCCATGCCAAATATGAAGACTGTGGGTCAAAGGAATCTTAAGTTAATGGGTGGACAAACTTTTTGAAGTCAAAAACCCTATGACCTTGACCTTTGACCTAGTGACCTCAAAATCAATAGGGGTCATCTGCTAATCATGACTAACCTCCATGCCAAATATGAAGACTGTGGGTCAAAGGAATCTAAAGTTATTGGGCAGACAAACTTTTTGAAGTCAAAGTCCCTGTGACCTTGACCTTTGACCTGGTGACCTCAAAATCAATAGGGGTCATCTACTAATCATGATCAACCTCCATGCCAAATATGAAAACTGTGGGTCAAAGGAATCTTAAGTTATAGGGCGGACAAGCTTTTTGAAGTCAAGGCCCCTGTGACCTTGACCTTTGACCTGGTGACCTCAAAGTCAATAGGGGTCATCTACTAATCATGACTTACCTCCATGCCAAATATGAAGACTGTGGGTCAAAGGAATCTTAAGTTATTGGGCGGACAAGCTTTTTGAAGTCAAGGCCCCTGTGACTTTGACCTGGTGACCTCAAAGTCCATACGGTTCATCTACTTATCATGACTAGCCTTCATGCCAAATATGAAGACTGTGGATCAAAGGAATCTTAAGTTATTGGGCGGACAAGCTTTTTGAAGTCAAGGCCCCTGTGACCTTGACCTTTGACCTGGTGACCTCAAAGTCAATAGGGGTCATCTACTAATCATGACTTACCTCCATGCCAAATATGAAGACTGTGGGTCAAAGGAATCTTAAGTTATTGGGCAGACAAGCTTTTTGAAGTCAAGGCCCATGACCTTGACCTTTGACCTGGTGATCTCAAAGTCAATAGGGGTCATCTACTAATCATGACTAACCTCCATGCCAAATATGACGACTGTAGGTCAAAGGAATCTTACGTTATTGGGCGGACAAGCTTTTTGAAGTCAAGGCCCCTGTGACCTTGACCTTTGACCTAGTGACCTCAAAATCAATAGGGGTCATCTACTAATCATGACTAACCTCCATGCCAAATATGAAGACTAAGGGTCAAAGGAAGTTATTGGGCGGACAAGAAAAAACCGAGGGACAGCCAGACGGCCGGACAGGCGGACGGCCGGACAAGCTGATTCCAGTATACCCCCCTTACAACTTTGTTGTGCGGGGGTATAAAAATAACATTTTTCTAGTAAAAAAATCAAAGTTTTTGGGGAAATAACTTCTTGCAATATTGGTGCTAGATTTATGAACCTTGTCACATAAGATGTGGATGATGATAAGGTACATATATTTGAAGTATGAAGTTGATCTCTTTAGAAATAAATAAGTAACAGTAAAAAAAAATATTTTTTAAGGAAAATTCTAAGTTCAAGGGGAGATAAATCTGAAAATATTGGTGCTAGAGTTATAAATGAACCTTATCACATAAGATCGGGATGATGATAAGGTACAATAATTATTTGAAGTATGAGGTTGATCCCTTAAGAAACAAGAACGTGTTTGTGAAACACAAATGCCCCCAGCTCTGATTCTTGTCAGTAGCAATATTTCAAAAAATGTTTACCCATTCACTCACTTATGGACAGAAACATTGCCAAAAAATTGTAAACACAAGTTATATAGCTTGACAGTGTCATGGCATTTTGTAATTGTGAAATTATCAGTTGCCAAGTCATTGCTATGACTGAGGTGAAGTGATAAATATTCAACTTTATCAAATATATATAAATGTAAGAAATCTATACTTGGCACCCTTGACCTTGACCCACTGACACCTTTAGAATATCATACAAGTTATCTTCCTACCAAATATGAAATACACCTGTCAATACATAAAAGCTGTATGGGCAAAAATATTAAAATCTATTTTGAGCATTGATGACCTTGATCAAACTGACCTCTAACTCCATCCAAAGGAAGAATACCATGCAAGTTATCTTCCAACCAAATATGAAATATTTCTGTCAATAAATAAATAAAGGCTGTATGGGCAAAAGTGTAAAAATCTAATTTTAGCACTAGTGTCCTTGACACACTGATCCCTAACTCAATCAAAAGGAAGAATACAATGCAAGTTATCTTCCTATCAAATATGAAATACACCTGTCAATAAATAAAGCCTGTATAGGAAAAAGTGTAAAAATCTATTTTTAGCACAAGTGACCTTGACCAACTGATCCCTACCCCAATCAAAAGGATGAATACCATGCAAGTTATCTTCCTACCAAAAATGAAATATATTTGTCAATAAATAAAGGCTGCATGAGCAAAAGTGTTAAAATTTATTTTTAGCACTGGTGACCTTGACCATACTGCCCACTAACTCCATCAAATTTTATGTTCCTATCAATTATAAATGACATCTGTCTATAGAATATGGTTAATACACCTGTAAAAATGTAAAAATCAATTTTTAACATTGGTGACCTTGACATTGGTGACATTGACCTTGGCCCAAATGACCCAAAGGAGGAGGACCTCCCTTGGCATGTTTGTATTAAACATGAAAGACATCAACCAAAAAATAAAGGCTGTATGAGCAAAAATGTTTAAATTTATTTTCTAAAACAGTGACCTTGACCTTGACCCTAGAGACCACTTACTCCACAAAAAATTCGAAGACCATTAAAGGTATCCACCTATTAAATATGCAAGATATCATTAAATTAATTAAGCAATTAAGAGAAATTTACAATAAATCCAACTTGCCGGAATAGGTTAACCAGACATTAAGGCCCTATTTTCAAAGTGAAAAAAAGGGAAATAACTGGGAAATATGGACGACACAGTTATATAACTTGGCAATATCATGTACTTTATATTGATAAGTAAGTGTGGAAATTATGAAGCCATTAGTATACTATTAGATAGAACTTAAGATATTTCCAACTTGCCGTTTTAGGTTAACCATTATTCATTTTCTAAGTGCTGAAAAGGGCAATAACTTGGTAAATATGGAAGCCATAGTTACATGTATGTAACTTGGCCAGATCATGTACTTTGTATTGATTAGTAAGTGGTTAAACTAAGAAGCCATTGGTACAGTTAGAACTTAAGAAAAATCCAACTTGCCGTTCTAGGTTAACCTCGTACGGACAGACGGATGGTTGAATTACTATATGCCCGGGGGGCATAATAAAGAGGTAACAGTAGAAAATAGTATTTCTTAAGGAAAATTCTAAGTTCAAGGGGAGATAATTCTGAAAATATTGGTGCTAGAGTTATGAATCTTGTCACATAAGATGTGGTTGATGATAAGGAACATATATTTGAAGTTTGAAGTTGATACCTTAAGAAATGACAAAGTTATAGTGAAAAATATTTTACTGCACCAAAACTTTAATCTGGACGCTGACGCCAGGGCGAGTAGGTCAGCTCTCCATATACTTGGTATAGTCGAGCTAAAAATGACTCTTGTTAACAGTTTACTGTTTTTATTTTATATATACATATGTGATAAATAGAATATTATATTCATGCAGATTCAATACTAAATTTATTGAACTTGTTCAATAAAACAATATGCTCGCCAACTGCTTGCATAATATGATTTTATTCAACTCGTTCAAATAATTTAGTATTAAACCTACACTCATTCAATATCCTCTATATATTCAATACTTCAAACATCAAAAGTTGGTCAAACACTAGATTTTTTCAACAGTTTTTTTTTCCCAAAAGAAACTTCAGGGCTATGATTTCAGACTGTGATCTAAATAGTAACTTCTTTGAATTTCTTTGTCATTCAACTCAATGTTTTCTGCCCAAAATTACTAAGATCGTGTCAAAATTTATCTGGATTGCACTGGATTTCTTCAGCTATTCTTTGTTCCAATAAAGGCAGTTGTAATTGACTAAAACAGCTAATGTCTCCACCAATAAAAACTTGCTTCTTCAACTTCTTACTCAGTCTTTCTGCCATTGCAACTGAATGAGACTCACTGCCACCTATCAAATTTGTAGAACTTGTGACATTTTTCAGAGTTGCCATGGCAACTGATAAGTCGCCAAATTGATTTGATTTGCCAAACCATAAATAAAAGCTGTCTTGTAGTTTTATAACTTGAAAGAATACATCCTGGTCTAAAATTTTGTCACTGAACACATGGACATAAACAGTGGGTTCCAGTAACTTGACATCTTCCATTTTGTTGATACTTCCTGTGTTTAGGATAAAACTCAATTGTGTTTGATATTATGATGTAGTTATTTGTTCATCCTGGAAATAAACAAGAGTGTTATAAAATGTCACAAAAACAATTATTCCTTAAACATTGCCTGAAATAATGCATGGAAGGCCTTCAAGCCAAATAAGGTTATCAGATTTCTTTCTTTACCAGTTTAGCTTCAGTGTTGCATCTAGAATTTCAAAATTATGGGGGATTGTCCCCCACTCAATTGAAAAATGTGGGGGATTTGAAAAAAATGTGGGGGACATACATTTACCTTACAATATGACATACCGAAAAGAATTCATTTGTTTTACGTTCAGTCATTTTTGACAGTTATCGTCCACTCAAAAACGGAAGTAGAAAAAATAAAATATTGACGAATACTACAAACACACGCGAGATGACTCAGTTGGCTGCTACACGCGCTTTAGTACGTATTTTAGTCATAACCACGAGTGAAAACAAATATGGCTGAAGCGTTTGAGACAGTTTTTAGATACAATGAAGATAAACTGAATTAAGTTGAAAAGATCGTCAGATGCGCAACTTGGCGCGCACTGACTTCATTAAAATGCGCGATCTGCATAAAAAATGCGCAAAACGCGCAATCGCGCGGCCTAGATGCAACACTGTAGCTTCAATATTGACATATGACTTAAGTTTTTCACAGTGTATTATTATTTTGATATTTCTCCCTATTGAATGGGCTTTCGTAATAATTCATGCTCAGTTGTGAAACAACTTTTATTAATAATGCTGAAGTTTATGAAACACTTGTGTCACATGAATAATTATACATATGCAAGT